TGCATGACATGGGTGCACTTACACATATACAGACAATACACTCATACACATGAAATAAAAATAATAAATAAATCAGAAAACTAAAGCAACTTACCTTAGTAAAAGTTGGTTACCAAATACATTTAGATAGCTTATTTTTACACTATAACTCATTATACCTGTCATATCAATTAGTATAAAATTGCTGAGGGGCTGGGAAGATAGCTCAGTCAGTAAAGTTCCTGCCTCACAAGCATGAGCACCTGAGTCCAATCTGCAGAACCCATGTAAAAAGATGGGTGCAGAGGTCCAGAGATGGGGAGATAGGAGGTTGGGCAGGTGAGTCCTAGGAGCCTGCTGGCCATCCAGTCTAGCCTGCTTGGGAAGTATTAAGTCAACAACCAAAGGGACACCTGAGGGATGACACCTGAGGTTGTCCTCTGACCTCCACACTCACAAACATGCATGTGTGCACCCACAACACATGTGCACCTCCAAACCCCCTCCACACAAGAAAGACTGATCAGTAATTTTAAAGTGCGTAGGAAAAATAACTAAGCAATGACAGTTTTATCAGAATTATGAAACAAAATAGCTATGGGAAGACAGCGAAAATAGAAAACTTATCAAAGAGAAAGCAAGCAGGGCACTGACGGGTGACTGTTAGTCCCTAGGCAAAGTGGACTGTTTCTAGAGAGCAGAACAGAGGTGAAAGGTATAGCCTCACCCCAGGCACTCACATGTGATTCCAATCTTGTACAGCTCCCTGAACTTCTGGTTGTAACCTTCTCCTGGAACATAGTCCCCCAGGCCGATGGTGCTGAGAGAGATGAAACAGAAGTAAAAGGATTCCAGGAAGTTCCAGTCATCCTCCAGGACTGAGAACACGGCAGCCGGAATGAAGAAGAAGCAGGACACGGTGATGAACCCCAGGAGGACAGCGTGGACAATGGCCACCACCTGCTTGGAGAAGCCCCAGCGGATGTGGAAGTAGAGGACAGGTCTCCGAGTGACATGTACAGTAACTTGCTGGACCACGGCAGTGAGGAAGAGGAGGGTGAAGGGGATGCCGATGACTGAGTAGATGATGCAGAAGGCCTTGCCCCCATCTGACAAGGGCACTGTGTGGCCATAGCCTGTGAGGAGAAAAGGCTCTGTAAGTGGACAGGAAGGCAGAGAGCAAAAAGCAAGCTTTAAAACAACATACCTGTGGGTCATGAGGAGGAACGTGAGATGCATGTGAGACCCTTCAGAGGCTCTGGTGTGCTGCTAGGTCTGTGAAAGTCCACAGGGAATGCCAGACGTTTGAGGAGTCCATTTGCGTGTGTTTGTGTGTGTGTGTGT